GTCGCAACACACCTCCGTCCATATGTGCCAACCTCTCCTGCAAGATGAGCACACCCTGTTGGACCAAGACACCCACTTGATCGACGAATCGACGCACGCAGGATACGACGCTTCGGGCTTTATGACCTGGACGGAGTACTGCAAATTGAAGACCAGCCCCTGGACGGGAGAAGTACCCCACTGCGCACCTGGAAGACTATGCGGTGCAAGATAGATGGCGACGGTTTTATGTTTTTTTTTGAAATTAATGGATATTATACATGAAATAGATTTATTGAAATAAATAGAGGCACGTGCATGTTACTAAGGATGGTGTCTTTTTGATCTATACGTGTGTTCCTTGTTCGTTTTCCTGATCCGACCACCGGTGAAGAACCGACGGAAAGAGCGATGCGGACGGAACGGGTTGGACCGCTTGGGGGCGCCACGTGGTCCAGGAGAATGCATGGTCACTGGACCGTGTGGTCACCCCAGGTGGAAGAACATGTTCAAATTCGAATTACAAAGTGGCTTTGAAATGGCATTGATATACAAAAGTGGCTTCAGATTGATTGCAAAGTGACTGAACTTTGGAGTTCTGAACTTCTTTTCCAGGAATGTCTAAGACCCTCAACCAGGGGATCAGGATGGATCAGGTGTAATTGTGTTCGATTGTTTTAGATATATGGGAGTTATGGGGTAGTGCAGGCAAGGAAGGTATGATCTAGGTTCCAAGTTCCAAGCCATGCTGCGATCCTGAGGTAGGAGTACCGAACGATCCTGTGCTGTACATGTCAACTCATTCATCAAACCAACGGGCCACGCGGCAGATTTGTTTTGCTTTCATCGAGTCCAGCCTATCCACCTACGTCCGTGTTTTGCTTATTTAGAGCTTGATCTTCAGATGTTCTTGATCCACTTCCCTTATTCATGCTTCTTCTGTTCTTTACGGAGAGTCAACCTCAGATCTTCCGTGGTCAACTCGAACATCCTGCGCGGTCGCTCCGCGGTCCGCGACCCGTCAGGGCCCGGTCGGGGACCAACGGTCTCAGAAGGCGGAAAGGCGGCCGACGGAAGTGACTGAGGCCCAGATGATTGGGACTGCCCAGTGATTTGCAAGAACGAGACGGCCAAGAAGTGCGGCGATGGATGGGACGCCTATTGCGTGAGTCTGAGCGCCGCGAGTCTGAGCGTGCTGCACGACGTGGACGGATGGGGCGAGGGTGGACTCAGGTGTTTTCGATCGAGCCAGGGCGCACTGGCCGCACCTGGCCCAGCTTCAAAGTGACCAGAATTGAGGGTTCGCAAGTGACCCAAAGTCGCAGCTTCTTTGTGACGTGTTTGAGGGGGATCTCAAAGGTTCACTTTGGAAGAACCAGGTCACTGACATTCGTAACTGTCATATCCCTGCAGGTCAGTTTGACCTTATGAAATACTGGAGTTGGTCATACAAAACACTACTCAAGGAGGTACACAAAAAACAAAAACAGGTTCTACAGTTGCTGACATATTTTGGACGGACAAATCATCCTGCATGCGCTGGGATACTGTACAACCATAGACCATAAGTCCATAAGCATCATAAGCTGGAATCGAGCAAAGGGACCTCCGTTTTTGTTGCGATGTTTTTTTTCCCGTCATATGCCAAGTTGCTGATGTATTGGGCTGAAGTCTTTCTCCGTTAGTATAAGGGCTTTGTAACCCCCAGATGTCAATCATCTTGCCTCACCTCCCGGGGTCCAAATCTGACAGATCTTTTGGCTCCTCTCGTGGCTTGGTACGAGAAATGGGAGGCCCTCCAAGTAGGCGCGCCTGTCTTCTTGTGTCTTCTTGTCATCACTGAAACTGTCAACTGCAATCAACTGTGCCATGCCATCATGCCATTCATTCGCTCGTTGGCCTTCAGCAAAGCTTTTTCAGCAACCTCAACTGGCTTTGCTCTTCGGGTCTGACTCAGTTCCACTGAGGACACCTACCCAAAAAGGGAGAATCAAACCACATCAATCCTCTTCTATCATTAGCGGGTGGATCAGCACAAGAAAACGATCCAATCTTCTTCTTTCATTGTTTCGTTCATCTCCGTGTTTCTTTCTTTCTGAGGACACATGTCCAGAGGTTTGCACCTCTGAGCAGCAGCTCTGCTGGGTCGCTGACTACGATGCTTCAGGCCTATCCGCGGCTTACCGCGGGAGGATGCGGGAAGGAAGCAAGCATGTCGGTTCGGTCATTTCGGGGTCGTTGGTCCATTTGTTCTACCTCATTGAGTAGTATGCTTTGCAGGATAAGCTCCAGCAAAATCAGGTCTTTGACCTCCAGATATATTTTTTTTCAGGTTGAAATCAATGTCGACATTCACGGAGATCTTATAACCATCACAGGTTGGTTTGGGGGGTCAATGTCATATTCCATACATACATGGAGTGTTTGGGTGTTTCATTTGGAGTATCTACAAAGGGCAAGCTCGAAGGCTTCGACCTCCTCCAAGTGCCAGCTGGTCTTCTTACGATGCACGCCATGACACTGCGCATGTTTCGTAATGTCAGCCCCAAAGAATTGTAATGTGTCATTGGCCCTGGGCAGCGGAGGTGTTCAGCAGAATGATTCAGCCAAACCCTTGTAAGCAACTTTCAAGCTGACAACAATGGTAGTACCCTCCCTCCAACGAACATGAAGGTGAACAACCTTCTGTTTACCGAGGAAAGTCGTCTTCCAAGGGCCCATTCTCCATTTCCGTGCTCGAAGCGCTTCATCTCTCAAGTCCCCCAAAACGGATCTTTCCACGCTGAGTCCCACAAAAAAGGGCTCAATCTCTGGATCATGGGTCTCACTAAAACGCGTTCGACCCTCTTAACTCAGAGAACCGTCACGAAACGAACGAACCTGGCACGAACCGTCACTCACGAACCTCCTGGCACGTCGCTTCAAGGCAATTGGCTCGGTGGATCGGACGTGTGTCATGATGCGAATGAAGATTGCCCCTGTGGAACGAACAGCCAGCTTTGCTTCTCGGTCGATCCGAGTATTGGCGAGTATTGGTGGTGGTTTTGGTGGACCCGACCCCGGAGGATTGGTGGTGGTTTCACGACGAGACGAGCAAGTTGAAGGAGTAGCACCCAGTGTGGATGGTGATTAAATGGAAAGAAACAACTATATGGAAAACATATGGACAGGGAGTCAGTAGGGGGCTTCTACAAACCACCCAAAAGTGCCGGGTGGTATTGCTTGAGATTGACACATAGCCGGACATGGAGGTTAAGAACTTGATATTGGAGTTCTTGCCAGAAGTACTGACCATGGGGTAGGTTTGAACCCATCGCAAGGACGGATAATTTTCAGTTCATCCAATGCCTTCCGGCCAACTACTCAACGGCTGATGATGCCTGTGTGATGGTCAAGCTGGATCTGGTGGGCTAAATTTGCAAAACAACGCTGACAGAACCCAGATCTTCCAAGTCCAGCATCACCGGTTTGGGTGGTTAATAGACCTGAGTCAGGTCACCTGACCATGTATTCCATCCAATGCACACTTTTTGAGTGCTGCTGGATATGGAAGAGTTGCTTACCTTAGGGCCTGAACGGGTCATTTTCATGGGGTGAATGTATGTAACTCTACCAGTCTCATGAATGCTTTGACACCAAGGATGGTCACGAAAAACATGTGCATGTCCTGTCCCCAGACTCGTGATGTTCTCCGTTTCTTCCAGCCACACCCAGTTACACTGGTGGCACTGCTTGAGGCTCAGGGGATCCATGTTGTTGATCCGACACCCTTGGATCAAGGCCGCATGTTCCATCCTTGCTCCTCCTCCCCTTCACTGGGACAAGCTCCATCTCTCCCCGAAAAGAGTCTCTTAGGGTGGCGCTGGCTGCTTTTCTCAAGAAACTTCTGGCTGAGTTTCCCTGACCCAAATGGACCCAAATGACACTTCCACTTGACCCCGGCACCCCAATGGCACCCCACTTGCTGTTCCACAGCTCCCAGGTGCCATGGATGGCTACTCCTATTGCGAGTCCACCTTCTACGGCTGCCCGGTGACCTGCTCGGCGGACCAGAAGTATTGCTATCCCGTGTCCTACACACCTGAAGGCCACGTGTCGTGTGGTTGTTTGTTTTCCGCCATGCGAGCATTGGCTAGCATGTGCTAGCATGTTGTGACTTTTCGGAGAAATTAGGAGACCTCTCTAGGATGTTCTAGGTATATATTATGGACCCTTAAGATGGTCGATCGTATGAGGTGACTCTCTTTTTCGAGAGCACGGAAACCCTACACTGGTAAGCATGTCGTGTCCCAGCTGCCTCGATCCAGTCTCATCCAGCAGATGGGTAAAACATCGCTCGTTTCGGCGATCCGACGGACGTCCCGCGCAGGCGAGTGGGATCCTTGGATCAATCGAGGTCAGCCACGGCGATGGAGTAGAGGATGCGACAGGAAGTGTTGGATGGCTTGGACTAAGGAGATGGCCAGGCAGTCGACCCAGCCAGGGTGAGGAGGGTTCTCCCTATTCAGTTACACACTCATACACAGACAGGACAAAAGTGGGAAACGATCCTGTGAATACATGACCTACAACCCTACAACTCCTTAGAATCCTACAAGGGATCACAGTGGAATTCCGGCGGATTCATGTCCACCCCCGAAGTAAATTGATAGCATTATGCATTAACTTAAAATACACTCTGGGGTGGAACTTCATCCCCGGAAGCACATTGGGAAAGAGACGTCATGTCAATGAGATTCTCAAGTGAAGAAGAACACCAAATGTTCTTCCCTAAAATAGGATTTCCTTGGCAATTTCCTCTATCAATGTCAGTGGTTTCAATTTATTTGATTGAGTGCACACCCTTCTGTGAACGGTTTCCTTGCAGCAGCATTTTGCACTATAAAGCTGCCATGCCCGACAGATCCCGACAGGGCTCGTCTAAAATCTAGGTTTTGGAGACATCTCAGGACTATTCCGTGCCAGTGAACGAGACCTGTGCCGCCTTGGAAGACACTTGCCCCTGTGGTGCCAATGCCAAGATGTGCAAATGGACCGACGAGTGGGGCTGGGAAGAGGAGCCTGGGTGGAGGTGAGAAGTGAGGCTGGGCAAGGAGTGGGCTGGACCTGTAGGATGCTGCACTGTAGGGAATTGTCTTTCAGTGATTTGCATGGCCTGCGACTATTTGCATGACCCTGCTTGCAGTTTATTTCGTCGTTTTGGGGGGGTCTTAGGTACAGAGATCCCTGAACCTTGAGCTGTTTTGGTTGTGTTGTGCTTCTCTCAGCTTTGCCTTTTTCCAGACTTTCATGTTTGATTGATTGGCTTCACAGCGAACGTGTGTTTGAGCGATTGCGGTGATGCACCTAGCTGTTTGGCCAAGCGAAGCAGGGGAAATCAAGGGAATATCGACATGGAAGTGGATAGCATGGTCCCTATACTTGGAAGACTACTTTCCTTCGTGCACTTCCATGTGAGTCGGGTGTCACACAGTCATGGACTCACTCAGTTTGGGTGAAACCAACGGTTCAGTCGGTTCAGGGCAGGAATTGCGAGCTGAAATGATTCGAAGCTGGTCAACATGGGAGAAACCGACGCCAGGAGTACTGTATGCCAACATCTTGGGAATGTCCTGTGACCTGCACCGCGGACCAGAAGCGCTGCTCCTGGCCTGACTGAAGTTGGTGTGACTGATGACTCAGGCCTACCAGTAACCTGCAAAACTACTTTTTTTGGGGCGGGGTGTGTAGTGGTGGGTAGTGGTTCTTCCACTCAAGTCCAACCAGGTGGAAAAAGACTTCAACCTCAGGAGGTTATAAACAATCAAAATTAACATTTTTGCCGGATCAAGTGCAGCGAAAAGGTGCACGTCGGGTTCCGCCACCGATCGCCTGACCGCGATCGGTCCGGGATTTCACACGAAAGGCAGTCGATCGGTCGGTCGAACGTGGGGACCTTCCACCGGTGGATGACGTGGTGGTTGATCAGGAAAATGCCGGGGGATGACGTGGATTTGACGTCCGTTCATCCTCCTTACATGTACCTCTATGAAATGCAGATGCCTTGTGCTTACAAAATGCCATTTCCAGGGGTCATTTTATAGAAACATGTGTGCCATATGACAGGGGACCCTGGAAAGATAACACCATGTAGGAGAGGGAGGTGTATTTTATAAACAAAATACGGGTTCCAGAATATGGATATCTCATGACATTGACCGGAGTCTGCCTGAAGCATTGTCATTTTTAAAAAAAAAGTGTTGGTTTTAGCATTTTATAGAGAATAATGCCTTGCAGGTCATTTTATAGCAGCTAAGTTACGAAAGCCAGCCTTCGTAGAAGGCGCCAGCCTTCGTTGTGTTTGGCGAACGAAGTGAGGAAGTAGGCGGTCTGGCGGGGGGGTGGCCCGCAAACGTACCACGTAAACTCGAAATTGGGTGGGGGAGAGGGGTCCACGGAAGGAAGGTTTTTGAGGTTGAGTTTTTGTGATTTTTGAGGGGTGGTGACAGTGGTGATGCAAGAAATGCAATTTGCATCATTTGATTGGTAAGGTGTAGTTTTGCAGAGGCCGATGTGTTGTAGCTTCGTGCAGCTGTGAATGCAGAACATTTATATAAGGCCAAAGATGGTCAAAGCACTAATGCGTTTTCAGATCCGTGGATTGCTGCACGTTGCTCAAAGGTAGCTTTCCTACCCTGGGTCCGCGCCTGGGAACAGAATTGTAGCTAATCTGGGTCCGTATAAATGCTATGTTGCTATACCTTTTACACACCTGTATAATACCTGGTAAATGAATTGTGGCTACCCTGGGTATCTATACCTGGCAAGGCGCCAGCTGAGTAAGAAGGGGGTTTCGGGGGCTGAGAAAGCACACTCGAAAGCAGGTGGTGTGTAGGGGTGCACGGAAGCAAGGTTTTGGAGGTGCTTTTCAATAAGAAATGCAATTGTCTTCGGTTGCTTGAGGTGCTATACTTGGCAACTGAAATGTAGCTACCCTGGGTATACCTGGCAACTGCCTTGTCGCTGCCCTGGGACCCCGCGCGCGCGCGCCTAAATCTAGGGCAGCCGGGAGCCAGCAAGGCGCGCGCGCGCGGACCCAGGGTAGGGAAATTGAAGGGCGATACCTGGCAACAGAATTGTAGCTATACCCTGGGTCCGTATAAATGCTATGTTGCTATACCTCTTACACACATATAAGTTCAAAGCACGAATGAGACTTCAAAGCTGTGGATTGCTGTGCGTGTGTAAAGGTTATCGAGCGGTTGACGGAAAGGGAACTTGAAGTACTATACCTGGTATCTGAATTGTAGCTACCCTGGGTATCTATACCTGGCAAGGCGCCAGCTGAGCAAGAAGCTGGCCTGAGAAAGCACACTCGAAAGTAGGTGGTGTGTAGGAGTGCACGGAAGCACGCCGTGCGCAATGCTGCATGCTGCCTTTGGCCCACAACGTGCTCGTGGACAAAAAAAACGCTGGCTTTCGTTTTGCAGCTTCTCAGGTGCTTATAAAGCGCAATACGCCACCTGAAGGTATCAAGTAAGGGGGATGTCCGTTCGGTATTTTTTGTTCAGCATGGGACTGTTTGGTTGCTCTCGAAAGATTGCCTTTATGTCAGTTTGGCTTTCAAGGTTATCTACACTCCGTGGAATCATAGTGGAAATGGAAACCATTGCGTTTGTGAAGGAACATGGTCATCCAATGGAGGTCCAACCATGACATCCACGGAGTCCAACCTCCACCGAGGCTATTTGACCGACTTCAATGCCTCAGGATATCCGGAGAAGTACTCTGAGAAGTGCGTGGCTCAGGCCTTGTCCAGTCTGGGTGAGTTAGAGGATGGGAACACCCAGTGAGTGAAACTGGTGGAAGACGGTGGAAGGGAGAAGAGACATGAGGAGCCTCGAGAAAAGAACTTCTATATAATATATATATATATATTGATATATTTCTTTACATTTTTATATACCTATTATATCCTATACCTATATACCTATCGTTTTTTGTTTCGCGCTCCGGAGGGGCCTCCAGGCGCAGGCCGCAGGCTTTGCTCATGGCTCATTTCAGCGCTTCTTCTCCAGTTCTTCAAGTCAGTCCGAAAGAAGACTGCGGCCGGCGGGCCGGTGCCTCTTCTGGTTTGACCCTGCAGTCTTCGGGTTTGACCCTGGGTCCACGAACCAATTAATGGCTATGAGTGTGAGGGTGTTTTTGCAGCAATGCTGCGAATGGTGGGTCGAACGAAAGCTAAATGAACCAAGACATGGTAGTGAACGCGACTCGCTCGGCTGGCCTCACACACAAACAAAGACCACGCAAACCCCCAACTCAGACATGCCCCATGCGACTGCCATATTTGCCCACATTTGATTAGTTTCGGGGTTCAATGTAGCCATATATCTTCCATACATGGAGTGCTGTCGAGGGGGATGAGTCCAAACCTGGTCTTATCATGTAGCAAAGTGCCCAGACAATCTTGGTGGCATGACCGCCACAGCCAGGCCCACTTCAATCTAGGGCCTTCTGAATCTGAGATTTTGACCTGCACCTCTGACTGCACCTGCACCTGCGTCAGGGCGAGGAGTGCCGCTGCGGAACTCACTCTCAGAAGTGCTACTTGGTTTTGCGGATTGGGTAATTGCTATTTTCCCGAACTGTGTGAAGCCCTTTTGGGGAATATACCCTAGGGGTCCTTGCCCATATCCTCAGGTTCGGTGGGGGACAGGCCCCCCCTGACAACCCTCCCTGGCATCCATCCCTGGCACCCACCCCAACCGTCTTCGAAACGGAGATAGGCCAGGAGCCCTAGGGATATTGCCGTCATCCAAGGCTACGACCCCTGGTTCGATGAGAACTATTGCTATCCGTTGGTGGATTTCTGGCGCCTTGGAAGAGGTGTTCATGCCGCAACGGATGTATTGCGATGGTGAATCTCAGCAAGTTCAACATGAGGCATTTTGAGAAGTTCAACCCTTATCTCTGACTGGCTGCGAACCCGTGGCGTACCGTACACAACATAGCAGTGTAGTGCCTACACCAGGAGACATGACCCTGAAAACACAAAAATACATAGAAACGAACAATGCACATTATCACGTGTTGTGTTCCTTTCTTTTCAGCAGCAACGATGGGCGTTGCCGGCAGTGCATTATTGTGCATTTGTGCATTCGTGAATCCAGCGGCATGGCCAAGTGGTGGGTCATTACGAACATTTGATGCTCGATCAGCCACGTGTTCTCACTGAAGACCCGCAAAAATTGAGGTCAGGACAGAAGATGAACTGCCCGGTCTACTGTGGCTTGGATTTGTTTAGAACTTATTGGAAGGAAGATGGGAAAAAGAAGGAAAAGGGCAACGATGATTCCACGTTAAGTTTGAAAGAACAATTCGACTTGTATGTTCAGTTTGGATCTGTCAAGGTCCAGCTGCCCGATTTTGGAAGTGGTAAATTGATTGCGATACATTGAGTGCTATTGTTGTTTATAACTTTATACTTGTAGCGCACATGGCGAAATCAATTTAGATATCGTATTAATCCTTTTTAGACCTGAACCGCGAGACCGCTCGGCACAGGCCAAGACAACGAGGATTACTGCTACATCCCCAGTTATGACGCACGTGGCGACTGGATCTCCTTCACAGCAGCTGAACTGACAAGAAGCGGAGCCGACGTCGAGCTGCAGGGGAGGGACCTTTGAGAGGTTTCACATATATACAACCGGGGCCCGAGAGTCTGAAGCCTCAAAAGGCCTGCGAACGCG